CTCGGACCGAAATTTGGAGGGGTTTATGAATGAGAACGTGAGGAGAGCTGACGGTGGCCATCAGCTGCTGATCTGATGCACATTCAGATTAACTGTTATGATTTAAATTGGAAAGACCGGTGTGATGTTTGCCACGTTGATATTGCACTTGTCAAAAAAGAGAGACAGACAGAAAGGCAAAACACCTCCATCTCCGTTGGGCTGTTTGGATAGTTTTTTTTTGTGGTAAAAGAGGAGAAAGCTGTCAAAAATGTCAGCTTTTTGGCAGCTTTCCCCTAAAATCACCTTTTAAAGGAGTGATTTAAACTTTTCCATTAAGGGGCTGTTTGGTTCGTTTCCTTGATATAGAGAAATGCAATTCCATGTAAAGAAACACAAGTTTTGAGTTTTCTAAACTTTTTCAAAAAATAGATTGTTTTGCTTTGGTTCGCACATAAAAAATGGTGGGAAACCAATGTATTTATTTTTCTTGTGTTTGGTTCGCATGGAAAAAAAGGAAAACTTTTGTAAACAAAGCAGAGAAGGAAAAAAAATCTGACGTGACAGAGTTTTCATCAATTTCACTTGGTTAGGAAAGGAAATCGGAGAGGAAAAAAAATCTTAGTTGGCGGCGATTTCAGCAGAGTTTTCCCTCTTCCTTCCGAGCGAACCAAAGCGGCACAAAGAAATGGACGGAAATAAAAAAACTGACGTGGAGGACTAAAAATCTGACGTGGAGGGGTTTTCCGAGTTTTTCACCCCTTATAATAGCGAACCAAACAGCCCCTAATATAAAATTTTGAAGTTGTCATGAATGTTCTCATAAGATTTTTTTTTTAACTTTTCCCTTAATATAAAATTTTGAAGTTGTCTTGAATAATTAAAGATTGCACTTCCTAATATAAGATAAGGGAATCATGCGAGTTGCGGGTCGATTAGCAGTTTATTGATAGTTCATGTGTAGGGTCGACCGGTTAAGTATATATGTCTCTTATAATAGATTTTGCTGTATTTATACTTCTCATTATATTTACGAGTTTTGACTGTGTTGGTATCTGTTATCGAATAGGGGTTTTATTTACATATTAGTGTGGGGTTAAGGTCCTCAAGCTTCTTCAGATGACTGGTTCGGGAGCCTGCTCTTGCACACGAAGAACTCGTGAGGGGCCGGAGTTGGGCTTTCTGGTCGTTCCTCGGATGATCAAGTCAGTACATGAACTTGAGTGGAAAATTGTGAGATGATGAAGAAGATTTCAAAGTTACGTGAAAAGCCAGAGAGTTACCTTGAGCTGCATGGCTTTTTTTTATAGTGGATCTAAAGGGCATGATAGGTAACTTGAGCGAATCCAAACCTGCAGTTGACTCGGCAGACAGCTGACAGGTGTCGACCGCTTGCGAAGATGAGTCATCCAGTCATTTATTGTGGGGAAGACAACAAGTGCTTGGAGCTGACGGGATCCGGTGAGTCATAAAAACTGTAGGGGCTATAGTAATGATGACTTTGTCAGAGCAGTTAATACGATGGTAGTTGGTTGTCGGCGGGAGGTTCGAGGACACACCACTTCTCTAGTCGTTTGGCTAAAGGTCGACAAATACCACTCTCTAGTCAGCTACGCAAGTTGTTGGCTGGAACAATAGGTCGAGTGGGGGTGCTTGGAGGTGATTTGGTGGATTGGCCGACCAGTATCGCCTTTCTAGTTGGGTACGCAAGTTGTTGACCTATCGAGTTGCCTGAGGGAGCAGCACAAGTTGTTTGGGCTCTGAACACGTCTGATTAAGTACAGGGAGCGGGACATGTGTCAGCTTCTCCCGGAAGATTAACATTTAGCTAATTAGCGTCATAACAGGTTGTATCTATTATTTAGGTTTTTCAGAAAACTTAATTATTGTGGAAGCTCATGAAAACATAGGCGCGAAAAAAAAAGAAAGAAAGAAAGAAAGAAAGGCATCCTTGTGTTTCACTAAGAAATTTCAAGGAAAAAAAAAAGCATCGAGAATAAACCATAAGAGAGAAAACCTTTCTACGGTGTCACTACTGCACATGACAAAAAAGACAAATAAAAGCTACGTGTAAACGGACGAGATGTGAATTCCGTGTTAATTGTCTCCATTGATCTAGAAAAAGGTTATACGTCGACATCTAAATTTCCAACCATTGGTTGTGAATACTGATGATAATAGATGCAAACTATAGTTGAGTTAATCAAAACAATTCGCTCAACATCAAATATCTATATCAAATAATTATTCAATAATATGGTGTCTTGTAATTGGATGTAGCTAAGAAATGTGATGTGGAATATTCTCAACCATGCGAATTGTTATTTTTGGTGAAAATAAATCTTTAAAGAGAGCATACACAAGACACAGGAATCTCGAGTTCTTAAGTTAGCTTGTTCATCTTG